AAATCTAAAATTCAAATAAATGTGGCCTTCTCATTAGGTATCTTCTTTGCCTAGTAGGAAAGTATCTAAATTTCAACAACTTAAGACATTCCCAAGAGCTCAATATCCCACCTAAAATTTGTAAATAAAATTGTATAAGCTTCATTTTAAAACTTGTATGTTCATAAATCTGGCAACTGCCTAACTTCCTAATTAGAAAATACTTTCCCCTTTCTATTACTATTGTATTATTAAGTAATACCAAGTTTGTTGTTGTTGGGTGCCATAGACTTTGCTCTAGATCCTGGGCAGCCCCATACACAAGAATCAAATGCAGCTTGGCCTGTGCACTAATCTGTCTGAAACATACTGGACTGCTATGATCCAGTTTTCAACAGCAAACTTTCGAAGACGATCAAGCCTTTCTTCTTGATCTATCTTACTCTAGAAGCAATCACATCAACATGCAAAGCTTCACTGACAAGACAAGAGAGACCTTCAGTTATACAGGCTGCGAATGGAAGCCCAACCCTCCACAAAGTAGGTGATAAATTTATCTAATAGAGTAACAAAAAAGCATTTGGAGACATCATTAACTCTAATTTAAAAAAAAAAAAAGTAAGCTATTTTATCTTGTCTGCTTAAAATTGTTATCCATTCTTTAAGAACACTTAAATATCCCTGTGAACTTTTTCTCAAAAGCCTACATGGTCTCCAACCCCATTCTTGAGCTCCAACAACTATCCATCCCATTAGACACAAAAATCCCTTGTTATTTAGTATGTCCTCCATTAGACATGAGCTTTGTAAGAGCAAAGGATCTTTTTTTTTTTCAAAATATTTTTTTATTTATTTATTTTATGTGTGTACCGTCAAATTGGATCTGACTGGTACAGGAGGTGATTGTTCCTCCTCCTTCAGCAGAGCATCTGGTAGATTTGAACCGCGCACTTCTGGGATTACAGTGCAGTTTCCTGCCACTAGGCCACCAGAGCTCGCCAGAGCAAAGGATCTTGACGTTAAGCATATAGACATTCAAATAGCAGATCAGTAAGATCCTCTCTTACTTCCATCAAGTCAATTCTAACTCGTAACTATTATCCACTGGGTTTCTGAGGAGCATCTGGGTAAAACTTAACTAGAGCCATCCCTTCTTTCTCCCTAGAGCCACTGGTGGATTCACACGTCAGAGAGAAGCAGCCTTTTAGTTAGCAGGGCAACACGCTACATGATCAGTTCCTTACGATAAAATCCTAGTTAATAAAGAAAGTGTGCTTGGGGGGCAGGGCATGGGTTTATTTACGAGGGTGATATAAAATATCTATGTAAAGATAATCTGTGATTAAATTAAATCTATGATCTGACTATAAAGTTTTATTCACTATTAAGGTATTTTAGTCAGAATTCCACTAACAGCTTGTTGATATGTAACCAATCCTAAAAGAGCAATTTTTAAATTGTCATTCCTCCTAAACTAACAACTCCCATTTCATTTCATAAAAGCTACTGCCTATAGGACCAGGCCCTTTACTCATCCCTAAGCCACAACATCAATTAGACTGGCATCAACCATAGCCTTGAACTTTTTAACGTCTTACTTAGGGATGTCTGCTCCAACAAGGCACTGTAGCCTCACTCTGATTCCAAATCCACCCTATCTGTTCCAGGAAACCAGGCAGATGTGTAAGAAAGAGGTGTAAAAAAATGATCTATGCTAGAACAGCAAACAAATGCTGGCGAGGTTGTGGAGAAACTGGAACCCTTATTCACTGTTGGTGGGAGTGTAAAATGCTGTATCCACTCTGGAAGGCAGTATGGTGCTCTCTCGAAAAATTGCAAATAGAAATACCATTTGACTCAGCAATTCCACTACTGGGAATTTACCCCAAAGAAACCGTAACTGGCACACAAGCGGATATAGGCACACCCATGTTTATCACAGCTTTGTTCACAATAGCAAAGAATTGGAAACAACCTAAATGCCCATCAACAAATGAATGGATAGAGCAGCTGTGGTATATTCACACAATGGAATACTATGCTGCAGAGAAAAACAAGGAATTCATGAAATATTATTCAAAATGGATGACCCTGAAGGACATTATGCTGAGTGAATTAGCTCAGTCACAGAAGGACAAATACTGCATAGTGCCACTGTTGTAAAAGGGGACTGGCATTGGGATTGGAGGGAGACTGAGAAAGACAGGATAAATTATGTATACTGTATTGAAATAGATGAAGGAGAGAACTGTTTAAAAGGGGTATATATATGATTAGGTATTATTGTCATGACAAGAGTCCAGAACGAAGGCTGCATAGTGGAGTGGACTTGGGGGGAGGGACTGTATAACAATGAAAGAATTTTTCTTTTACTTTTCAAAGAGAAGAGCAAACTGGGGGGAAAGTGCAACAATGAATAAATGGAAATCCAAAGTCTCTGTAAACTTTCATTAACATTAATAAAAGAAAATAAGAAAAAAGGTAAAAAAATTATCTCTGCTAAATATTAACTTCCACTTGAAATACACTAGAATCAGTTTTAAGTAATCCTTGTGTGTGATCATAAGAAGCTAAACTTCTTGTAATATTTTTTTTTTAATTTTTTTTTTTTTTTAAATTTTGTGTGCGTGTACCGTCAAATCAGATCTGACTGGTACAGGAGGATATTGCGCCTCCTTCTCCGGCAGAGCATCTGGTGGATTCGAACCGTGTTCCTCTGGGATTGTCTTGTAATATTTTTTATATTTAAATATGTTCTGAATTCTAAATAACTTTATAAAGTCAATTTGCAAGATTTCAATTCTTATGCTTAAGACTGTCTACAGCATTAATTGGGGTACCAAGGAACAACTGATCTACTCAATAACTTAACACTTCAAATCAACTTTCATGTAATAAATCAGATTATAATAGTTAAATACAATAAATATGCAAAATTTTCATGAAAATTCTGTGAAAATACACATACCTAACTCCAGTTCCCTTCTACCCTCATTAACCTGAAACAAACTTTAGTTATCACTACAACCCATTTGGAGAAGACTAAAGGAGGAAAAACAGTTTGCAGAGTAGATCATTAATAGACTGCATATTATTTGATACAACCTCAAAAAAATATTTCCAATATGTACAAGAAACAGGTGGCTGGAAGAAAGGAGGAGTGGAGCAAAGTTTGTAACTGTTTCAGTTCTCAAGCAGTTAATACACATGGGCACTGATGATCTTGAACTGTCAACCTTTTGGTGAGCAGCTGAAGAGCTATGCCACCAAAGCACGGCCACTGGCAATCTTACCTGGTGCTCTTCACTGGCAGAACTGACAAAAGCAGGCTTTTCCCATGAACAGAAATGGCAAATAGGTCCATTTTTTCCATCACATAATTTTTAAAGAAAAATGTTTCAGAAAGTGGTACATCTTGGTCTACCCTATCACAGACCAAATCCCTTTTGGTTTAACAGTATAATATAAGTAGGTGTATCTTTAGATAGAAGCTCAAAAAAGTTCTTAGGAATACATTCAGACACCTTCAGCACTATCTATGCTAAAATGTTACTTTGACATTGAAAGCATGTAAAACTCATTCAAATCCAACAGGAAATCTTTTATGAAGCAGAAATTTTTCCAATTGCTACTCCCTGTGTAAATGTCAATGTTCAAAAGAATAAATGAGAGTTCAAACCAGTTTATTCTAAGTAATATCTTAAGATGCTCCTCACTAAAGGTATTCCTATTACAAAATACTGATGCAACTATGAGTTGTTTCCTAAACCTCCCATTTTGCAAAAACTGCCCTGTTTTTTAAGGCAAAAAGCCTAACAAACTTCACACTGCAACACTGAAACAATCCTAATTTATAAATATTTTAATAAAGATCAAGTGTCTGCCTCACCATGTGCAAAAAATAAGTAAAGCCTGGAAAGCCAACCTGTCTTTCAACAGTTTATGCTACTACAGCTGGATGCCTGATTACCTGCCATCCCAAAAATACAAGGACCCTTAATAGTTTTAATAACTGCTGAGCAACACATGCTAGAGAACAAAAAAAAAAAAAAATGGACACAAAGGAGACTGTCAAAGACTGAGTTTCACATACTGTATATCACACATCTTTCCAACACCTCTAACTTCTTAATCAGCAACTATATGTCTTCCAAATCTGACTGATAAATGGAGAAGTACTCTCTGTCTTTGTATGTTACATTTGCAATACTCACATATGATTCAGAACAAGAAATACTGCCATACTGATTTCTAGAACCATACGAAAAGGAATAAAAAGATGCAACAAAGTGAATAGCAGAGATAAAAGAAAGGTTCTCTTTTAGAGATTTATCCTTGTCCTCTATAGTGGAAATATGAGAAGTGCCGACAGGAAGAATGTGAATATAAAAATTAAAACTTCTTAAATAGACTAGTACTCTTGAAAGTAGAGCTTTGAAGATCACTTATTTTTATGAAATAATTATTCTTCAATAATTAACAAATTTCTAGGTCAAACATTAAAAGCAAATGGAATATAGGTCCAATGAGGAACAAAAGCTCTAAAATCAGTTATGTTGTTGCTGTGTATCATCTAGTCAGAACCGATTCATAGCTGACCCTCCAGCGGGTTTTCAGACGGAGAATGCCCATCTTTCTCCCATGGAGAAGATAGTGGATTTGAACGTCGTTCCTTCAGCACTGTAGCACAGCCCACCTGAGCCCCCTAATATTGGTTATGTTTATCTTTTTAAAAGCATGTATCTGTTATTCTGATACAATGTTGACAACTTTCTTAAGGCCCTTTATCATGCCAGCAAATTCCTACGTCTCTTGGTATTTCTGCACATTCTAGTTAAGAAAATGCCACTTGAGAAGGCACAAATGATGATTTAGACAATCAAGAGACACAAACTCAAAACAGTTGACAATCTACTAAAAGAGGGTTATTAAGATTCAAGAGAGGGGAGGACTGGCAGAAGAGGTAGGCAGAGCACGGAAAGCAGCCGGGCAGAGCCGATGCCCCGTTTGCACACACTTACAGGTTTGCTAGGGTACACGTTAGACAGATGCATTTTTAGTTTTCCCACTGTCCAGTTCAAGAAGCAGCTAATAGTCTGGTCACTGTATTTCTGATTCGGTGCTTTAATGACGAGGGTCACAGGAATCTCCATACCACTTTGATCCATGGTAACTCCAAAGTTGGACGGAGCCAAGCGAAAACAGCAGTTAAACCCACGGGAGCCAAGGCGGCTACAGCCTTCGCAACTAGGATGGGGGACAGCAGGGAGTTCTTAAAATCTCGAGTCCAAGTCAGTCACAAGAGCATCGGACGATACGAAGGCCATGGCCGATCCCAAGGCTGGGCAGAGGCGACAGCCGCGGGGGTCTACGGCCCCGTACAGATCTCCCCGCCAGGTCCGGGTTCCGCCGGGCTCGGGACTGCGCAGGGAGGCAGGGGGTGGGGACAAAGAGAGCGAGCGGTGAGTAGGGGCAGTGAGGTGAGGGCCCTACATCCCGGGTCACCACCCCGCCCGCCGCCACCCCCGAGATGAAACGCAACAAGGCCCTACGCGACAGCTCTGCAGCGCGGGGCGGACCAGGGTACCTGACTGGAGCCGCTGGGCCCGCCGTCACCGCCCTCGGCGCTGGCAGAGCCGGACGTACGACCAGGCGTCCTCCGCGACCGCGGATCCCTCCCTGCCGCTCCGCAGGGGCGCCGGCGGCCACAGCCCGGCCGCAGGTCTCGCGAGGCGGCACGGGTGGGAGTGGGGAGAAGTTATCCACAGAGTGTGACCCCACTCTCCACCGGACCCCGCGGGCTGGGCGGGGACGGACGCGGCGGCAGGGGCGGCTGCAGGTGGCAGGAGGGCGGGGACGCGAGCCGCACAGCCTGCCGCGCGCAAGTCTTGTTGTTGTGGGGCTGGTGGTCCGGGCCCCATAAACCGGAAGGCGCAGGGCGGAAGTGCGTCACTCGCGGCACGCCCTGGCATGTGGCTCTTCGGGCCCTGCGGTCATTGGGCGTTTTGGGACCCACTCACACTGAGTTCCCTGTATCTGAAGGCTGTGGGCTCCGTGGGACACCCCCAGGATGGACCATTCATTCTTCGTAGGCCCCCAGACGCCAACATTATCCAGTCATAACCATACCCTGAGATTTCTCTCTGTTGCAAAAGTGAGTGTCTCCTGATAGTTAAAGTTCTAATCAGTAATCTTGCAATTGGAGCCTTGGTGGCCTAGTGATTAAGAAGCTACTCCACAATTCCAAAACCTTGTGGTTCGAATCCACTAACTGTCCTACAGGAGAAGAATGGGTAATCATTTCTACTGTGGTTTACTGCTCCGGGCAGTTATCTCTTCTGTGATTTTGCATTCTGAGGCTCCATCTAACATTTTGGACATGTTGCAAGGAGAGACCCGTCCTTGGAGAAGGACATCATGCTTGGGAGGTTGGAGGAACAGCGCAGGAGGGGAAGGCCCTCTATGAGATGGATTGATTCAGTGACTGGGGTAATCGGGATGGGAGTGTCAGAGACTGCGATTGCCACAGGACAGAGCAGAGTTTAGGGCTGTTGTACACAGGGTCGCTATGAGTCGCAAGCGACTCGATGGCACAGAACAACAACAACAACTGTGGTTTACTGCCTGAGACAGTAAACAACATTTTTGTTGTTGTGTACTATCGAATCGGAACCAACCAGTAACTGACCCTCTGATGGGCTTGCAGAGGCAGTTAATTGTACAGGAGATTGCCCATCTTTGTCCCTCGGAGCAGCTGGTGTATTCGAAGCATGTGCCTTCAGGATTGTAGCTCAGCTTCTTACCCTAGACCACCCGAGCTCCCTATAGCTGGGTCAACTCCAACTCAATGGCACATAAGGAGCTTGAAATTAGTAACAGTTTCTTTAGTGTGGATTGTTTGCAAAAGACTGTGCCACCACCTTAGGGAAAGAGAAATGCAGGATACGTTCAGTAAAGATTAGAGGTCAAGGTATTTAATTAGACTTAAGTCACTGACCCTGTGAGTCTGGCTAATCCTACAGAACTGGGGTATGTATGGGGAGCATGTATGTATGTGTACATACCATCTGATGCACTGGGAGGTTAATTTTCATCTTATTCCTCTTGTCAAATCATTATTTATTGAGCACCAAATGTATGTGCAGCTTTGTAGCAGAGGAAGAGGGATGGCAGAGTGAATTCTCTATTTTATAGCTTAGACATAAAATGCAAAGGTTATACCCATTGTCAAAGGTTAGTTGGAGGAAGATGGAAGTGAAATAAAAAAAAAAAAAAGGTTAGTTGGAGGAATTGAGGAGTAAGTACTGTAAATCACCACCAACCAGCTCTCAGCTTCTAGTGCCATACTGACTTGCCTGTGATTGTGATGCTGGAACCAATGACACAATGCCACTGGGATTTCACTAATGAATAAGCTTCAGTGGAGCTTCCAGACTAAGACAAACTAAGGGGGGGTGGGGTGGCGGAGGGGACAGGTGTGCCTGGCAAAGTATGTCAGAAAATGAGCCAATGAAAATCTAGGTCACAGCAGAAACACCGGCCAACTCAGTAGCTGTGGACATTTCATGGGGAGGAATCAATCACTAGAGGAAGATACCATGTTTGGTGAAAGGGCACAACAAGGATGCTGGAGATTTTCAGTGAGATGGATTGTCACCATAGCAACAATGAGGGAACTGGAAAAGGTAAGGAAGACAGAACTGGACTGTGTTGTCTTCTGTTGTACTTAAGGTTGCCATGAACCAGAGTCCACTGTGAGGCAGCTAACAGGAACTATACTGCATTTTCATAGCTCCAAGCTGGGAAAGGGGCTCTTTTCAGCTCGACAAGATTTACAGCCTCTGTTGGGTTAGTGACTAGGGGAAGATTGTCTCTTCAACAGCTAGTGCAGAAGGACCTTTTACAGTCCTCCCTCCCTTACTCTGGCTCTTCATGGTAGGACACTGGGCTTATCTGTATCCTCTCTACTGTTCTTCAAAAGAGTGAAATTCCTTCTATTTCTGGTCATAGATGGAAGCAGCTTGCTCTGGCTCAGGTTTTCTGTGACCAACTTTGATCCTTGTCTCCCAGTACTTATCTATCTGTAATCTCATACTTTGGGCATGTTGTCAGGAGGAACTAGTCACTGGAAAAAGACATCTTTCTGTGAAAGGTAGAAGGAGGGTCAGAAAAAAAGAAGACAACCCTCAACAAGATAAATTGACACAGGGACTTTAACAATGGACTCGGGCATGTCACCAAAGATGAGGATGGTGCAGGATAGGGCAAGGTTCGCATTTGTTGTCCATAGATAGTCTTTAAATTGTAGTTGCCTTGACAGCACATACCAACAGTTTCTTCCTAATAGCACCTTAATGTAGGTCAGCAAAAAATAATTTTTCAGATTCCCTGGCTGCTGGTGGCAACTGTTTGAAATAGTTCTAACTAATGAGATGAAAATTTAAATTGCTACATGGGATTTCTAAGAAAACATTTAAGATGGACAGGCTGTACCCATCTTGCCCTTGTCCTATACCTGCCCTCCAAGTTCAGCTGCCATAGTTCAATGATGAAGAAACAATCAGGAAGACAAAGACCTAGGTGCCAAGGGTAACTGAATCAATAATAAGACATCAAAATAAGCCTGTTAGAATCTATCCAAAGCTAAACTAGAACTGCCCCAAAGGGTTTTTAAGGAGTTGGGTCTGCCGGCTGGCCTGGAGACTCCACTCTAAGAGTTGGCTCCTAGCGTCTGATGGCAGTCGCTTCTTGATGGTGGTCACGTCTTCATGGTGGTCACCTAAAACAAGTTTTTGTGGTCGTGTTTGATGTGTGTTACTGTTCCCCCCCTCCCCCAAAAGTAAGTGTCAGTTCAACTTTTGACTAAGGGTGGAGGCCTGCTTAAGGGCGTGTCTTTAAAATCCGATAGTGAGGAGTTGGGTCCAGCCTGGAGACTCCTCTCTACGACAAGTTGGTTCCTATCATCTGATGGCCTGTGGCCCTCGGCCCAAATTTAATCATTTTAAAATGAATATTTTTTAGGTGATACAACAATCATTTGTCTATTTCCTGTACTGAATCACTTGGCGTTGCTGTGATACTGAACACTGTACCATAGTCATCAGGTACCATAATGGTTATTCATCATGTACAATGTTTGGAGGAGCTTCCAGACTGATTCATGTTGAGAAGCAGGAATGGAATCAACTTCCTAAACTAGATGCTTCTGGAAACTCTATAAACATACAGAAATGATGTTAGTTATAGAACAGAGTTCAGGTCTTTTATGGAAGGATCACTATGAGTCTTATTCAACTTGACGACACTTAACCACTGCTAAATGAACCTAGTGGTGTTATATCTAGAGGAACCTTCTTCCACTTTGTACATCACTCTTTGTCAATGTGCTGTATGAAGTAACCTGGGTTTGCTGTGATGCTGAACCTGTGTCATTGGGTGGTTGTTGTTGTTGTTGTTGTTAAGTGCCGCTGAGTCATAGATGACTCATAGCAACCCTACGAACAAGACCTGAACACTTGTATAACTTTCATCGATTCTCCAAGTTCATAGAGTTTCCAGAGGCAAGCTATGGGTATAAAATACTATAATGGTTTTCCAAAGTGGACAGTGTTTGTTGGAGCTCCCAGTTGTAAAACCGGTTTAGAAGTAGGAGTGGCATCCACTTCCTAAATCACATGCCTCTGGAAACTCTATGAACTTGGAGAAACGACGATGGCTATGGAAAGGCATTAGGTCTTTTGTTCATAGAGTAACTATGAGTTGTGCTCGACACAATGGCAATCAACAACAACAATATCTTTACAGGAACAGATTGAATCCTCTTTCTCACTTGGAGTGGCTGGTGGTTTCAAACCACCAACTTTCCAATTAACAGTCAAATTATTAATCTCTGTGTCACTAGGACTCACTCCTTCACTAGGATGAGAGAGCAGAAAAACTGGAAGAGACTGTGTCTCTCGTAGTATCATCACATGGTATCATCACAAGCCCTAGACTGTCCATCTTAAGACTTATTAAAAAATAAAAACAACAAAACAACAGCCAAGGTCCGGTTTAAACCTGGAAGTATTAACCCAAACTCTACAACTTCTGCCTCCTACTCTACTTGTTTGCCATGTATGAGTCTTGTTTGTGACTCAAATTTCCAGGACCTCTTTAGGGGTCATATGACCAACTCACTCAGCCCTGTGACACGTACATTGTTACTATTACTCATGTGCATTTCAACTGTGATAGCACTCCTTAAAGCAGGGCCCCTGAAAGCTTCATTTGCATGGGCAAAACCAGATGAAAATGTAGTGAATGTTTTTCACTTACATAGTGAATTTTTTTCAAACTGAGAAATGCCAAGCATATCCTTCCCAGTGGATCCCATTAAGATGAAATTGTTAACACCTTCAATCTTTTCTCCATCCTCCATGAAGTTGCCT